TTAAATAATTTGGTGCCTGCGGACCAGAAATACCAAGACCGTTCCGGCTTGCAGACATGCTTAATAGCTCTGTTTCCACTTCCCTTACATTGATTAATTTTATTGGGAATCTATTTTGAGCGAGGCCAGGAGTGGGCGATGTTTGTTTTTCTAGGACCTTAGCGCTGTCAGTCGGCACACGTTGGGAAAAGTAAGCTCAGTGCTGAAAAATGTGAACGAGATGGAACAGTTGTCTCGCTGAAAAAGTACTTCTTAAATTTTAAGCCTTTTCAAAATTCGTCTTGTAAGAATAGTTTCCAGGCGTGTTCTGAACTAACCTTCTCTTTCTTGCAGTTCTTTTTTCAGCTTAACTCTTCGAGATTTTGCTGTTTATATGATTTTTCGTATTAGTTGGGGTAATTCCTCCGGTTGTTCGATGCGACTGACTTTGCATTGTATTCTTACTAATAATGAGCACTCGCTGAACCCAACATGAAATTGAGCACAGTTGTAATGTCTGTTCTCTTCCCTCTCTCTTTAATCTTTAACTTATGTAACGAATGTAAATTCAAAGCGTTGGTACATAAAATGTTAAGCCAGTGACAAGCCGACTGTAGCAACCAGGTTGACCCTGGAAACCAAAATGACAAAAGCCTGGTAGATAACAGTATCAGAGAAGGTAAGAGTGAGGTAAGACGTTTCAGTTTATTGAATCATACATCTTAACACCGCGACAGGAACTCGTCAATATGACGATCGCAGTGCCTGTTGGGAAAGGAAAAGGAAAAGAGAAAAACCACAGAAAGTAACAGAAGGGAATACGATGTGATTGTGGGATTAGAGGGAGTAAGAGTGAAGTAAAGAGGGAAAAGGAAGGTGAAAGAAAGAAATTTTAAAAGGAAAAGTTCTTTTTTTAAAAAAGTGGGATTTCTATGGATTAACGGTAATGGGATTTACCAGCTCTCGTATGTAAGGGTGTAAGCCGAAGTCGTTCTTTCCTTTTATCCCAAATGTCTAGAGTTTATGTGTTTCAGTGTCATTTTTTTCCTTTTATTTCGTTGATTTCATCGATTCAGCGAAACCGATTTCAACAAACTGTGAGACGATTTCAGAAACTCTACTGCTTGAAGTACTCGCCTGTTGTATCTTGCTGACTTCGAGCTGCAAAAATACAACTGCTTTTATTTTTCAGCATCTGCTGATGCGGTTTAGGAAATGTCTCTTCGGGCCAATGGTCGATCCAGCCCAGCTGTTGTGTAGCACACCGTAACATTCTCTGTGAGTATCCGGACGAACACACTTCGTTTGGTTATGGCACAGTCAGTCGGCTCTGCATCCGTAATCGGACTTGTTATTTTAGCCGATTATTTACTTCTGCTCTGAAGTCCACTTGTTCCTCCAATTGTTTCTCTCTGTTGGCTCTCGAACTTTGGTTTGGCAGTTTGCGTGAATAATGTATTTGCAAAGCCCGCGGCCATTTGGCCAGCATTCAACATCGTACCGCTCGATGGGCAATAGCATGCGGTCATCCACCAGCATGACTAATTTGCAAACATCGAATGCGGAAAGCGGACGCGCTAGCGCACCGCCAGCAGATCTGACAGTGGTTTATGAAGGAGTTGGCCATCGTCGTGGTCCTTTTTCAGGCCTGCCCACTAACCAGACACCATTTGGCAGTGAAGTCACCGAGCAGACTGGAATTTCGCAAGGACCAGGATTTGCTGGTGCGACCAGAAAGACGTTGATGGAGGATCGTGGAAGTGGCGGTTCAACGGCGGACGGCGCTCCGACGCTGCTCCCAAATCGCCGCATTTATCATATGCGAAAAACGACATCTCTGCAGAATGCTGCCACTCCAACCGGAGATTTTGATCAAAATTTTATTGGACCAAACTCAGAAGCTTCAGCACAAAATGTCACAGTTGTACCTATTCATCGCACTGTTGGCCCGAACAGGCAGCCTCCGCCGTGGGCACGTCCAGTGCAGCCGTCATCACAGGAGCAGATTCTGAGGCCTTATCACGA